ATTCACGACACATCCCCTAACCCTCATTGCTAGTACCAGACACCGGAAACACACAATCCCTATTCGGCAACTCGTGCCTTATATGCCACCGATCAGAACGACTCTCAGAACAAGCAAAACAAAAACCAAAGACTCCACCTTCCTCCATGGGAGCGAGTCGACCCATTCAACCAAACCTTTACCGATGAACTCTAACAACATAACAAACCAAACACGGGGTTCACCCACCTGCAAACGTGTGGAGAACAAGACTCCCAACAAACGACGTCTTTATCAGGACTAGAACAAATGGAAAGGGTAACGAACCCCGCTTTCACAAGAGACTGACGACTCGAATCTAAATCCACCCGACACTCTATCACACGCTACTCACCAATCGTCTAACTGTGGACACCCAATCTCACCTGAGATGAGCTAAACTTCTTTCACACAAGGAGAAGAACCAATTGGCTACTCGTACAGAACCACGAACTCAATTTTAGGCGATCTCGCCACTAACGGACCGCCAAACATTATCAACATCGGAACCTCGCATACGTTACACCTGACCTCCACGATCAAAGGAACCTACGCGCTAACACATGAAACTCATACGTCCCACCCTGAACATCGTACTGTGCCATACGCAATCGTTCGAAAGTCATGTCCCAAGCACTATGCCTAAAAAAACTAGAAAAATGAAGCAACCATGCACCAAATAGCTCGATCCACGAGCTAAAGACCTACGTTATTCGTTCGATAAGAACCGGAACCCAAACAACCCTAAAGTAACCGAGTTCCTCACCTACTCAGGTTAAAACTCACACAACTAGTTATGTCGTGACAAGTACTCTACTGTACTAACAACCATCCGATGCTTGATCGCATACTCTTGTACACGCATACATATGTATATAATAACCGAAACATATACCTTGACACGATCGTGTCCTATCACATCAGTTTAAACAACGAGTCCATTAAATCATTATGTGAAAATAAACATCCCGTTCATCATTGTCATCTTTTTCACAATTAACATGCTTTCGAGTCACGTATGCACTTCATTTACATATACTGGCATTTAAACACATAAACACTTAACAAATAGACATGCCTTTCAAAACATTAAATATTTAAATAGGTAACAAGTAAGCATGCTTTTTAAACAGTTAAGCACTTTAACATATAAGCATGTAAACATGCAAGTCAACTTCCCTTGCAACCCTAGGTAGGCCTCTACCCGTCGTCCGAAAGGTATTCGAATCTAATGCTTTGATACCAAATTTGTAACGACCCGAACCCGGGGGTCCGAATCGTTTACTGGGTCCTTACCAGGACCCGAGGTCATCTAAGGCATTACCGTCATGCCCTATGTCAATGCATAAAATATATATACATCATCTCAAGACTTATAGTACATTATATCACTAACATCACAGAAAACTCACAAATACAGGTAGAATGGTAGCGGCTTGTAATTCCATGGATACAAGTCATATGTCTATACTCCTCCGATTTTCTGAAAATGTTAAGATAAGGGGTAAGCTCAACAGTTCAGTAGGTAATGCCTAAAACACAGGTTTTGGACTCCCTTGAGCCAACAACCAAAGAACGGGAAAAAAAGATGTTGGGATCATACACGGGGAGTTATCAAAATCACAATCCACGTCATTCAATTAAAAAAATTATCATCACATAATCAATCATAATCATAGGTGCCAAAATGCTATGAAATGCAATGCATTGCGTAACCGTCCCGAGCTTGGTCTCACACCAAACCCAAATCCCCACCTACGCTAACTGACTTTACCAAACTGGGATTGACACTCTTAGTGTCAACTTTTTTCATGTCCTACACCGGGCCGCGCCCACTCTAGGTCATGTTAGCAGCTAACTGACTTTATCGAGCCGGGATTGACACTCTTAGTGTCAACTTTTTCATGCCCTACACCGGGCCACGCCCACTCTAGGTCAAGTTAGCCCCGGGCTCGCGATACCCGGTTCGTTTCTAAATCATTTCCTCACAATCCTTTCCAAACACATTTATTTTAAAAGAAACATGCCAACCTCACTTTTCCCAAACCACGCCCATGCCATGAATGGAATCATGCATGAATGAAAGTGATGCAAACATGCCTGCACTTTATCAGTTTAACTATACATACTCATCATCATATATATGTAATCTCAAGAAATAAATTCAACACAAGGTATGTTCATTAAACAACTTTGCAATTAAGCACATATATAAATATACGAAATTAATATCATTTAGGTCATGCTTCGTCACATAAACAAGTAAATAAATTATCAACATTAAATCTCGATATTTATCATTTTAAGCATTGTTAGCAAGAAATCAAATAAACGAACTCAATTAAAGTCAAAACGTGATGGTTTAGATATCCCTACCTCAAAAGTAGCCAAAATACATCCCTGGCTGGAAAAGTCAACACCGGTCAAAGTGGCCAATGTCGGTCAACAGCGGCGGAACGAAAAATTATTCTGTGGGAACGTAGCTGTCGACGAGGAGATTCAACTGTTCCAAAGGTTCAGCTCCAGAATCCGACTCCAAGTGGACCAAAAGCCCCTCCGAAGCCTTAATTCCAAAAATTTAAAAAATTCATAAAATAATCACCGCTCCTCAGAAAATTAAATCTTTTGACTATGTGATAGAGAATGACGAGAGGGACATTTTCCATTTAGGAATCAAGACCGGAAACCTGACCGATTGGCTGAAAAATGGAGGAGAAAAATTGAAACTCAAAGAAAAAGAAAATAAAAGAAAACAAAAGGGAGAGAGAAACTTCCTGCGGGAGAGAGAAACTAAGGCTGAAATGTTCAGCCAAATGGTCTTAAGGCCACTAAAATGAGTAACAAGTGGGTCCCACCACAAAAAAAAAAAAAAATCTTACTTTTTTAGTATTAACATATATATATATATATATATATATATATACACACACACACACACTAAACATAATTCACAACCACTCAAATAACCATGTAACAAAGTAAATGAGTACAAAATAATGATGTATGAAATGCCACTAACTTGCAACACCGTCCCCATGCTCAACAACTTTGGTAGCGGGTCCCACCTGGGACCTCCCGTTCCGAAAAACAAAAAAAATGCCGAAATGGTAACCAATGCATTTCTAAGAGTCCTAAACTCGAGAAAATGCTCCAACCAACCTGGGAACATACCCGACACATCCCATGGTGTCCGGTACGTAAAACGAGATAATGATTAAAATAATCTAGAAAAAAAATTGATTTTTTTTTTTTTTTTCAGAAATGGAAAAGGGAAAAATCAAGATCATTACAGGTTCTCAATCTTTTGGGATCCATGTACTAATGTTGTATAATGTTGAGGAAAATCAATTGGATTTTAATAGTTTTCATTGGTTTCCTAATGGTGCTAGCACAAATAAACTATAGACATCCAACTTTTCGAAGAGAGTCACAAGGAACTGTATTCGCTTTTTCCACCGTCTATGTTACTTTGTTTTACAGGGAATCAAAGTGCCATTTTATACGTGTTACAAGAAGAAATTACTCGTCCTTGATTGGGAAAATTTTGATTCCGTAATCTGATACTCTTGTTGAAATGAACATTTGCACAAGCTGATTTCCATACCGTAGTTTGTAGATATGCAAGTGTCTTGTTGTCTATAGGGATGTAAACCACCAAGACCAGCCCTGTTAACTGTAACTATCCTGATCTTGACAAAGTTATGACCTAAGTCACATAAAGCGAGAGCAGGAGTGATAGCGAATTCGAGAGCGACAGAATTAAGTCATAAATAGTGAGAATTTGAGCCGGAACAAGCGGAGAGCGGGAACGTGCTCAGAACATAAGAGCAACATCCATTAAAAAGAATTGTGTGACGATATTTAGAATTACCAGAAATAAAATTCATTAAATCTAATCAAAATTTGGATGTTCACCTTTCTCTTGTACATCATCATTACTCCTCTGTCCCTACATATACCGAGGGATTTGGTTGCTGCTGGCCTCTCACACCAACCGTTTATTGAATGATCTGTTTGCTGCTGGCTTCTTACCCCCAACCGTTTATTGAATGCCTTTATCATTGTGATCATTTATGTTAAATCAAACAAAGTGGAGATTTATAATTGCCTCATAAAATCAGACCAACCCTTTGCTTTTATGATAAATGTTATTTGAAATTTGAATATTTTGTTAGAGAAAGGTAATACTTTGAATTGGGCTAGTTCAGAGAATGAGACTCTCGTCATTGTGGAGATATGGAGACCTCCACACCGAGAGACGGTTTCGAACCAAAAGTTTAATAGAGTACTTTAATGTGGATAATTATTATGCTAATTGTTTTGGCAATTATATAGTATTTTGACAAAAGTAAATATGCCGTACAATTTTAGGTCAGTTTCTGTTAGGGATCATAATCATAGAACGGTAACACGTTACATTTCCTTGTTGAAATGTGTTGGCTGATAATGGTATGGCTATAATCTTCGGCAGTCTTTCTTGAACAAGGACTAAGTCATGTATTAATCTACAACAATATATATATATTTTTTATAAGTAAAAGTAGCTTAGAAGAGCGCTCAAAAAGGGAATGCATCCCTGATACAAAAAGCAAAACCTACAACAATTTTTTTTGGTAAACAGAAGTGAATACTTTTTGGTTTTTCTTTCTTTTTCTTCGTGGAATAGATGCAGAGATGAGAACATTAGTTTTGCCCATTTTACACGAGACTACTTACCATATAGTCTTCATATGAAAAAGTTCGGTATGATACATTTTTCACATAGCTTGTGATTCTACACTAGTACAAAATGGTGGAAAGTGTCAGTTTCAAGTTCAATCAGAATAAACTGCACAAAAGCAAGAAACTTTTTTTTTTTTAACAAAAAAAAAAAACAAAGACATTTTGAAGACAAAGTCAATTTACTGATTTAATGTACTGGTCCTATTTGCCCCACCAGACAACCTGTCCAAAACTCATGTTAATGGAGATTGTTGACTTCTATATTCCTGCAGGAAAAAATACCCAGTGAAGAATTTAGAAAGACAAGAATATGAGTAGGGGAAGAAAAATAGGAGGGAAAATAGAATCACCTTCCATTAGAGAGACCTCAAAAGATTGCTTCCATGGTTGCTATCCAACTCCTTTTCTCAGCTTGCCTGATCCCACCCATCATTCCAAGTCCAAGCAAAGAAGCAGTGCCACCGCTTCCGGTTGCAACTTCACCGCTGCCACAGCTTCTTCCCTCCCTCCCAACACCAAATTCACCAACCATGAATCCCTCCCTTTGTTGGAAGAATCATTCTCTAACTTCAATAAAGCATATCCACAATACCCACAGACCCAAGAGGCTGACCAAATCAGAGCACAAGAATACTACCATCTCTCTTTCTCCAGTCATGTATGCCTTGATTACGTAGGCCATAGCCTCTTTTCCTATTCCGAACAACAAAACCATTACTCCACTGCTTCAAATATTGCCTCTTCCTCATCATCTCATGTACCCTTCTTTAATATCCTTTACAAGTCAGTAAATTTGAATTCTCAAATTCTGTATGGTGGCCAAGGGTCGGAATTCGAATCCAAAATGCAGAAAAGAATCATGAGATTTATGAATATCTCCGAAGATGATTACTCCATGGTTTTCACTGCCAACCAGTCATCTGCATTTAGACTCCTGGCAGACACTTTTCCGTTCCAGTCCAATCAAAATCTTCTTACAGTCTATGATTACGAGAACGAGGCAGTGGAAGTGATGATCAGAAGTTCCGAAAAGAGAGGCGCCCAAGTCGCGTCAGCTGAATTCTCGTGGCCTAGTTTGAGGATCCAGTCCAGAAAGTTAAGGAAGCTGATAGAGAGCAAGAGGAACAAGAGCAATAGGGGATTGTTTGTTTTCCCACTCCAGTCTAGGATAACTGGAGCTAGGTATTCTTACCTATGGATGAGCTTGGCACGGGAAAATGGGTGGCATGTCTTGCTTGATGCTTGTGCATTGGGAGCTAAGGACACGCAGGCCTTAGGCCTCTCTATGTTTAGGCCAGACTTTATTGTTTGCTCCTTTTTCAAAGTTTTTGGAGAAACCCCATCTGGTTTTTGCTGTCTGTTTGTCAAGAAATCGAGTGCTAAAGTGTTCGATGACTCAACCGTAGCTCCTGGAATAGGGATCGTGAGTCTTGTCCCAGCCAAAAGAACATCTCAGTCCCCTGAAGAACTTGGACAAACATCAAAATTCAACATACAGAAAGATGAAACCAAAGAAGTCCTTGTAACACATAAGGAACAATCATTCTCTGAAATTGTGGAATTAGAGAATACCCTCAACTCTGCTCAATCCAGAAGCGAAACCAGCACTGATGGGAGCTCGGAGATTGGATGCAGGGGCTTGGACCATGCGGATTCATTAGGCCTGACGTTGATCAGTCGCAGGGCAAGGTACCAAGTCAACTGGCTGGTGAATGCATTGATGAGTCTTAGACATCCAAATTCAAATAATGGGCCGTGCCTGGTAAGAATCTATGGACCTAAAATAATGTTTGACCGAGGACCAGCCGTGGCATTCAATGTGTTTGACTGGAAAGGAGAAAAGATTGATCCCACACTTGTACAGAAGTTGGCTGATAGAAACAACATATCTCTTAGCTATGGATTTTTACACCACATTTGGTTCCCGGACAAGTATGAAGACGAGAGGGAGAGGATATTGGAGAGAAAAAGCAGTGCTGAAGAGGAAGGGTCAGTGGGAAGTAAGAGAAGAGAGAATTTTCATTTAGGGATATCAGTAGTTACAGCATCACTTGGGTTCTTGACAAACTTTGAGGATACCTATAGGCTCTGGGCATTTGTATCGTGCTTTCTGGATGCAGACTTTGTGGAGAAAGAGCGATGGAGATACAAGACCCTTAATCAAATAACATGTGAGGTTTAGACTAGACTTGTTTTTATCATTCTTTGCCACTATGAGGAGCAATAGTTTAGTGTTTACTGTAAGCTTTTAGTTATGTTAGTTAAAATAGATGCACATAAAGTGCACACCAAGTATAACATTAACAGTAGAGATCTGTTCATTCAAACTTCAAGTATCTTCAGTATTCGATTATTGTTTTTGTAGATTTATTAATAAGTCACATTAAGAACATAATAACAAAATCTAATCAGCAGTCAATAATATTTTAACTAATGATCAGACAAAACCTAACTAGCCATCATGCAGTCAGTTACCTTGAATTAGGTATTATCGAAAAGTACTATATCAAGGTTCAGAAGGGAGCCAAATGTTTCATGTGCTAATTCAATAATATGCAGATTACTGCATATTTTAGTAATGAATACAACAATTTTATAATCATATTCATAAATATACAGCAACTATATATAATATTTATATATTGATGACGAAAAGATTGGAGTAACATAGCATTTACCATTTAGCTTTAACAATTCAATACAGCCATGTCTGAGACTGACCTTCAGATACAAGCATAAACAAATAAAATTCACTGATCACCACTGGAACTTTTAAATATTATATATATACATAAATATATATACACATATGTTTTGAGAAGTAAGCAACGCGCACACTCGTTTTGACCTACTTGGCCCAACAAAAATGCAAAGCCATTAAAAAATGTGCCGATGCCAGCCATTTCTTTGAAGAACACCATGAGGTAATCCTCCTCTGTACCTCTATCCTCTCATTCAAAAATGTGCTTTGCTCATTGCCATTACAGAGCATAAAGCCAATCACATTATTCGTTGATGTTCTTTCGTGAAGGAGTTCCCAAAAACTTGTTCATACAAACATTACCATCCCATTTGGGTATTCTCTGTACACACCCCTGTTTGGCCCCACAAGTGGCAAACATTCCTGGGATGGTCAATGAGGTTATATCACAAACCATATATGACAATGAGGCAAAACCCTATCGAGCAGCCCCCGACTATTTAGCCCAATCCACGACGCAATGCAAGACTTGTTAGGGCACATCTTTAATACATAATGTTTGGATTGGGCCATATGTTCAACCTAATTTTGAAGCTGCAACTAAAGCATATAGATACAAATTATCCTATTAGTTAACGTAAGTGAAAATGACATTGATTTTTTAATATTATCTTTCATGCTTTACTTAACAAATGACTATGAAATGTAAGATTAACAATCAATGTCGCCTATTAGTTAGCAAAAGGGAAAATGATTTGTCATATATAACGGAGATCGGTAACAAATAATAGATTTATTTACGTGGACATTAAGAGAGAGAGAGAGAAGCTGATCAAACAATCACTAAAATGAGGTGATTAGAAAGAAATTTTTTTTTGACTATCCTATTTTTGGATAAAACCGCAATTGACTAAAAATTTGATATAAAACTCTTCTGAACTATTCAATTATTGTAACTGCGAGACCACAATGTTACAGAATTGTAAAAAATTAACAGTTAAAGGACAACATGATTTTCATGCACCTAAAAAGTTATATACTATAACGAGGAAATGCTCCTTAATAGAAATTTAAAAAAGAGCAAATTGCATAAAACCCTCTTGAATTATTAATTTTTTTTGCATAAAGCCCCTCTTATAGGTTACCTTTGAAATGATGTTCATTTTAGGTTTCCTTTTTTTTTTTTTCAACTTTTAAAAAACAAAAATTTAAGAACATTGCTGTAATGTTTGTAACTTAAAAAGGCAAAAGAAAAAGAGAAAAGAAAAAAAATAAAAAAATGTGTGGGACCCAAAAGTTTAAGTGGTTATAAGACCACGTTTTTTTTCCTTTTTTTTTTTTTTTTTTTTTTTTTTTTTTTCTGTTGTTTCTTCTTTCTTCGGTCTCACAGCTCTCTGCCTTCTTGTATTTCTTTTTTTCTTTTTCTTTTGCAAGCTTTCACTCTTGATTTCTCCCCCATCTTTTATCGGATTAAAGTGCCGTTTGAGGCAAAACGACGAGCATGACAAGCTCTACGTGCTAGTACCAGAAATTCCAGCTTTTGGTCCTTTTTGGGAGCTCGAATTTAGAGACCCATTTTAAGGGTTTTGGCTCATTTTTGAGGTAGGGACACCTTAATCCACTACTTTCTTGTTCCATTGTGAGTTATAATCATTTGTTGTGCCAAACATGCTTAATTAGAAGTTAATTGTATCAATGATTATTTTAAATATTGTCTAGAGAAATTCATGTATTTGAATGTGAGTTGTTTTATGTGTAAAGTATGCTTAAATGTATTTTGTTATATCTTAATGTGTTAATAATTACTTGGGAGATGTTGAACATGTTGAATGTTTAATTTTATGGTGTAGAATTTTAAATGCCATGACATTGAATGTATGGAACATATATACATGCACATACCATTGGGTTTGCATGAAATGGGAGAAATTGTTCTTGAAATAAATATAGGGAATTTCAGGGAAGTGTTTTTGATGAAATGGTTTTATGTGAAACCCGGTCGCTGCGGGGTTACCAACGGGCCGGAGGTTAATATAGCCTAGAGGAGACTAGGGAGTCGCCCTAGCGTGGTTGAGCTAGCTGGGCCCCATAATGACGTCGCGGGGTTACCAAGGGTCAGGGACACTAGCCAATCCTCCTCTCGTGTCGCGGCGGGGCTACCAAAGGGCGGGCTGTATTACCAGTTTGGAAACGATGTTTTGGATTATGAAAATGGGGAGCGACGCTAGCATGCATTGCATCTCATACCATTGCATTGGATATACTTGAGATTGAATCGTTATGCTGTTTTATATCCCGACATTGTATGATCCCCATTTTCCATTGGCCTATGCTTCGTTTGGATTCACAAGGACACAAGATGTGTGTCTTAAGTGTCACCTGTTGAGCTTTATGCTCACCCTACTATTTATATTATTTTTTTCAGGTCTTGGAAATGAACTGGTGGACGACAATCCACCTCAAGCTTGAAAGTTGTTAGAAGGTTGTTTGCTATTTTGTATTTTGACCGTTCTATGTATATTCTTAGTTATGAAAATATAATTAAGTTAGTATTCATGGCCTTGTAACTTAAGAACGAATTTATTTTTTGTTTGATGTAAAGGAAACTGATGGAATTATGGTATATGTTTCTATGCAATTGTATCATGTAACGTTGTAAGACAGGGACTTTAAATCTTAACCATGTATTTTGGGACTGTAATTATGATAATTTAGATTAATTGGTGTGTAGATGTTCCACCATGAGAGGAACTATGTTGAGGTATAATGAACAGATGAATGGGATGCTGGATGATATTATGTGTTTTGTGTATTGGGACAGGTTGTTGAAGGCCCATTTTTAGGGGAGGTTATGCCGAATTTTTTTTAAAATTTTGGCATCAGCTAGGGTCGTTACAAATTTGGTATCAGAGCGATGGTTCGAATACCATTAGGACGACGGGTAGAGGCTTACCTAGGGTTATCTGGGAAGTCATTTGCATTGTTATTTCCTTGTTTGGAAAAGTGCTTTGCTATTTGAAAAAGCATGCTTAACTGCTTACTTGCTTGCGTGCTTATGTGCTTATATGCCTAAATTAATGTGTTCATTGCATAGTATTACATGTTAAATGTTTGTACAGTATCTTTTTGCGTTGGGTTGTTTACGGTTGGACCTTAGTGTTATCGTTATTGAATTGTTTCCTTTGTTTTATAGAACGATGTCACGGCGTGAGGAAATTAGGAAAGTTGGCCCTAGACCGATTAGGGGTGATGTTGGTGAGAGCTCCAGCTCCAATTCGGAGGAGCTAAATGATGAGGACACACTTCTTAGGGACTTGATTCCCCCGAGAGTTGTCCCCACAAGGAGGGATAATGTTGAAGCACCCGTAGAAGTGGGTGAAGGTTCTGTGGCACTGGAGTTTAATCGTTTGTTGCAAAATGTCGTGAGGGCAACGATTGCTGCTCAGCTGCAGTCGGCACCACAACCTACAGTTCAAGTTGAGGAGACGCCAGCTCAGAAGCGTCTCAAAATTATTAAGGGGTTTGGCGGTGCAGATCCAATGATAGCAGATGACTACATGGAGCAAGTTGAAACTCAATTGACTTCTATGGATGTGACGGAGGATCATTTGAAGATCATCCTAGCTGCTTATAAGTTTGCTAAGGATGCCAAATTATGGTGGAAGTCGGTTACGAGCCGGTATAAGGTAGAAGAGATGAGTTGGGACAAGTTCAAGGAATTGTTTTATGAAAAGTACTTTCCGCTTTCCAAAAGATGGGAGTTACAAGACTAGTTTCATAACCTTATCCAAGGGAGCATGTCAGTGGCAGAATATGAAAACAAGTTCACTTCACTTTCTCGCTTTGCTTCAGAAATGGTGAAAGATGAAGTTAACATGACTCAGAAGTTTGTTTCTGGTCTTAATGATCGAATGAGGCTGTTGATCACGGCACATTTCATCAAGGTATATTCTGAAGCAGTGGAAAGGGCTTTGATGCTGGAGGCTGATAATAAAGAGAAGGATGCAAGAAGAGAGCAGTTGAAGCAAAAGAGGGGTGCAGGGCCATCTTCAGAAGGATCTTCTTGGAAAAGGAACAGGGGCGGTCCATCTCAGTTTCAGGGACAGCAGTCTGCACGATCTGTTCCTACCACTCCGTTGCCAGCTGGGTCTGATAGGAGTGCAGTTGTTTGCTTTCAATGTTAGCAGCCTGGGCATTACAAGTCCAGTTGTCCCATGAGATTGACTTCAGTTTCTTCAGCTCCGAAGGCTTGTTATGGGTGTGGCCAGCAAGGCCATTTGATTCGGGACTGTCCGAGTCAGGGAGCAGGCACCACTAGTGGCAGAGGGTTACGGCAGAGGCCGTTACAGTCGGCTACGGTTCAATCAGGTTTCAGACCACTGCCGCCACCACCACAGCCTGCCTTGTCTTCTCAGGGTTCATGACCAGCTAGGAGGGATACTCCTACTGTGTCGGCACAACAATCTGGTGTTCAGATTAGTAGTTCATAGGCACAGGCACCGCAGGGGCGTGTCTTTGCCTTTGCACCAACTGATGCATCTCCTGGATCTTCAGTTCTCCGAGGTATATTTCTAGTGTTTGGTTCTTGGGCCCGTATTTTGTTTGATTCTGGCGCATCTCATTCTT